AGAGTACCAGTGAACAATTCTAGCTAGGGTCTATAAAACAGTACGATAACTATTATCTGTCTGCCTGCCTGCCTATCTATCTATCCATCCATCCATCTATCTATCCATATATACATATATTACAGTAAGTAGAACAGTTTGTGATTGCCGACATACAGAGATAATTAGTATAACAAGAAAGTCAAGACTGATCAAGGCTGGATCTTGGAGAGTGAAAAGACCTATAAGGGGAACATGAGAAGTGCTGGGGGGCATACTACTAGAGCACTTAATAGATACCTTTATGTCAGTTTGTTGAAAATCACACAGAAAAGCACCTGAACTCACAGATATGATCTCAGTTAAATTCTTTAGTAACTTTAATCATTCAGGAAGAGAATTATACTTAGGCAGGACAGAAATAATGGTCAGCAATGTTTGGAATCCGGACAATAGAAGCTGTAAAAGTCAATATTCATATCCAGGGGGCCTAGTCCAGTCCCATGGGGGCTCCACAGCCACTAGTCTACAGTTCATGGGCTTCCACTAGTTTGGCCGGTCATCTCTACACATCTTCCCATCATGATCTCAATGTCCCCCACCTGCAGAATCCCTCCTCTCTCTCATCATTTGGATTCCCAGAGCTCAGCCCGGGGCCTGGCCGTGGATCTCTGCATCTGCCTTCATCAGTCACTGGACAAAGGCTCTATGATGACTAGGCCCCCTGGATACGGAAGATGGTTGTTTGGCTCGAATTGTTTGGGAGGCACCCAGGCAGGGGTATCGGGATCTGTCCCTGGTGCATGGGCAGGCTTTTGGGAATCCGGTGCCTGTGGTGTGATACCTTGCTCAGCCTTGGTGTAGTGGGAAGGGGCTTGGACCTGCCTAGGCTCAGTGTGCCAGGCTCTGCTGACTCCTGTTGCTAGAGTTTTTCTGCCTGGCCCACAGTCAGGGCAAATCTCTCTCACCCGCCAGTCCCAAGCCGCTCAAACCCGATCAAGTAAACACAGACATTTATATTGGTTTCAAACTGTATGGCCGTGGCAGGCTTCTTGCTAACTGTTCTTACAGCTTAAATTAATCCATTTCTATTAATCTGTACCTTGCCACGTGGCTTGTGGCTTACCGGTACTTTACATCTTCCTTATCCTGATGGCGGCTGGCAGTGTCTCCCACTCCAGCTTCCTGTTCTCTCAATTTTCCTCTCTGTTAGTCCCGCCTATACTTCCTGCCTGGCCACTGCCAATCAGTGATTTATTCATTGACCAATCAGCAACACATTTGACATACAGACCATCCCACAGCAGACTCCCCATGAGAGACCTTGATTTGGGGGATGTGGGGATGTGGGGTGGCTTGGGAGAGAGGGCTGGGGGATGGGAGGAGGGAGGAGGGAGGATCTGTGGGTGGTATGTAGAGTGAGTAGAAATTTCTTAACGAAAAATGAAAAAAATTAAAACTAACTTTTTATTCATGGATATTATAGGAAGATTCAAAGATTTTTTAATCACATATTTAATATGTATATAATATATATGGTGTGTGTGTGTGCATGAGAGAGAGAGACAGACAGACAGAGAGACAGAGAGAGAAAAAATATTCATATTGCTTCAAGCCTAAGTGGTGTTTTGGGTTTCAGTTCTTTTTAGTGACATTTTATGAGAAGGGGTTCATAAATAGCAGTGTAAATATGTAACACCTGTACCTACCCAAGTTATTTATAGCTCATGTTGATATCCTTAAGAGGGTTATAGTGAGAAAAAAAACCTGCCATATAAGTCTTACTGGTCTCTTTTGAAAGAGGGTAGTGTATTGAGGAAAAAGTTTTAAAAGATTAGAACCATGTTTTGATTTATTCAACAGTATTCATATACCATGAAAGTTGAAATTGACGAAGAAATTGTATTCAACATGCCACAATGTACTAGTTACCATACAAAAAGACTACTAATAAAAATAACAAGCCTTCCTTTAGCAGATGGCTGAGGTAACAGAATGGCGCCATCCGAGTAAAAAAAAAAGAGAGAAAAGAGAAAGGAGAGAAGCAGAGCTGTTTCTGGACAGGAAGACACAGGGAGCCTTCTAGGGACACTGGGACCATTAGAAAGAAAGACTGCATGAGGGCATGCAGAGTCTCTTGACTTGGGGGCAGTTCTGGACACAGACAGCTTCAAAGGCAAAGCTCCAGGCAAAATAGCATACAAACAAGAACTGTGCCCCAGTAAAAACCATGCAGAAAATGGATGGGGTAGTAAGCACAGGGCAGGGAAAACCAGGCAAGGAAAGGTGGCATTAAAAATCCCTTATGATTTCAGGACTGACCACTTGGTATACACACAAGTAATATTATACATACGGAGAAGGTTATATTTAGGAATATATATTTTTATAAGTATGCAAATACAATAACTATTAATGAAAGAAGAGGTGATGAATTTGAAGGATGATGGAAAGGGGTATATAGGAGGGTTAGGATAGAAGAAATGGGAAAGAGAAATGTCATTATATTATAATCTCAAAAGTTAAAAAAAAAACAGGGCTGGAGAGATGTCTCATTGGTTAAGAGCATTGGCTGTTCTTCCAGAGGCCCTGAGTTTAATTCCCAGCAACCATGTGGTGGCTCACAACCATCCGTAATGAGATCTGATGCCCTCGTCTGGTATAAATGAAAATAAAGCATTCATATGCATAAAATAAATAAATATTAAAAAATATGCCATTTAGTTTAAAAAAAAAAAAGCCGGGCGGTGGTGTCACACGTCTTTAATCCCAGTAGTCAGGAGGCAGAGCCAGGCAGATCTCTGTGAGTTCGAGGCCAGCCTGGGCTACCAAGTGAGTTTCAGGAAAGACACAAAGCTACACAGAGAAACCCTGTCTCAAAATAAATAAATAAATAAATAAATAAATAAATAAATAAATAAATAAATAAATAAAAATCCTTTATGAGGAGACTGGATGGCACATACGTGTGAAAAACCCTCTGTATTTAAGCATCAGAAACATTGTCATGCATCAAGATGCTTTGAGATATCTCTGTGAGCAAAGAACAATTTCCTGGGAGCAGGAAAAAATTACTGATACACAAAGAAAGCAATTTGATACCTACGTAGGCTCAGTCCCTGCAATGCCCATTGTTGGGGAGACAGATTCTGTTGAACTATTTATGGAGATGACAAGATGGCTCAGTGTTTAACAACATTTGCTGCTAATAAAAAGACCACAGCTAGAAGATCCCAGCACCCACATATGCTGGTTCACAGACACCTACACCTGAAACTCTACCTTCACAGCATCTGACACAAAAGCCTGAATGGTTTCCTGCACACAGAGATGCTTACACACACATAAATATTAAAATTATAAATAGACATATTTCATATAGTTGATACATCAAAATTTATTTAGATTGAAGTGCTATAGTATAATACACCTGAACATATACTCATTTCTTAATTTCCTCGTATTGAAACTTCCTAATGTAAGTTTTATATTCTTCCATAGAACTGTGAGAAGCATTCCTGCAAGTACTCAGATTCAGTGAACTTGCTGTTTTAAGTACATAGGATGTGCCACATTTTAACATATAGTGCTTTTATCATTCTTACATCATTGCTCTGAGGCAGTTTTTTCTAATTGGGTGCTGGCAGTGTACCTCGATCTTGGTTCAACTCCAGTACACACACACCACACACAAAGAAAAAAGAAAAGGTACGTTTTCAGGAAGTTGGAAAGGTAGTAGAGAGAATTATGCCTTCTTCAGCCAATGTTCTTTAGTAATCACATCCCACATGACTGCAATGTACTGTCAAAACCCAGAAGGTGACATCGATACATGCTTGTGTATAGCCCTATGCTATCTTATAGCTTGAAGAATTGCATACCCATCATACCATCAAAGTGCAGGACTGGTTCATTATCACAAAAACCTCTTTATCCTTCTTTATAGCCATGTCTCCTTGATCCCCACCTATCAGCAATTACTAGTAATCTTTCCCATATTGAAAAAAATTATCATTTTAAGAATGTGATCTCAGAGAAACTAGAATATGTAACTTTCTAAAACAAACATTTTGCAGTTAGCATAGCACCCTATGGCACTTCTATTTAGAAACTGTTGGATGTTTCAATATTTTTTAATCCCTTTTTTGTCCTTCAATTATTTGTCTTTTATTTTTCAGTAAGTACTGTACCATAATCTGGATGTAGTGTTCACTTACTTAAGACCATCTTGTTCATTTATGGTTTTGTGTAGTTATAGATGAAACTGCAGTGAACTGTGTTCAAGATTTGTGGTACAGTTTTAATAAATGTATTTCACAGAGATTGAGGTAACAAATGCTCCAAAGAAACTTTGCTTCTCAGCCTCTAATTACATGTTGAAAACTAGACATTTTTGCTTCATGTCTTGTGCTATTTTTCACTCTTTCACATTAACTGTGTATAAACTGTTACTCAGGTAGTTTCAAAAGGAATGATTAGCTATGTGATTAGTTCTGGAAAAATAAGTTTTAAAGATACATGCATAACCATTTAACTGTTTTGTTTTGTTTTGTATCCTATATACATATCATTCACACAAACCATTGTTTGACTTTCTGTTGGGTACCAAGTCCTGAGTTGAGTGTAAAGGCCCAGTTCTGGCCCACATGTATTTTATGAAATATCATGGTTTGGGTATAGAGTTTGTGTGGTACTTTATGCTAGTTGCTTTTTAAATCATCTTCAATTTTAATTTTGTTTGGAGTTCATGCGGTTTCATTGGTGATGCTCAAGTGTGTATTACTAAGTGTAAATTTCCTGAAACATTTGGGTTGTAATTTGCTCTAACACAGGAAAACCACTGTTAAACATACACACACACACACACACACACACACACACACACACACACACACACAATCTAAGTTTGCAAGGTGTGTAGTTTGAGTCTTGCAAAGAAGGGTGAGGTTTGGGTGGAGACTGCGGCTTGTTCATTAGTGTATAATTTCCTCCATTTCCTCTGCTTCCCTTTCTCTGAGCAGCATGAAAAAGTAATCAGCCGTCCACAAAGTACCAAAAGAGTGTCTACAGACCCTCTTGGTAAGGACCCTTGACTTTGTCCTGGTCAGACTACTTTTTATTTTTATATAGTTTACATATATCTGAGTTCTTTTATATAAAAGAAGGGAGAGAGTGACACTTACTCATTGCTTGAATGCCCATCAGTGGACTTCTTTGGGAATTCATGTGTGTATAACCTAAAATAGCATTGGCAAATGTATATGTAATTAAAATTGCATTGTGATTCACAGAAATATGAGCTTGAGAAAGCATCTGGCTCAGATTGTAAGAAATTTCTCGGTTTGATAAATACACTATAGTTTTTTTTTAACTATTACAAAATTGTTCAACTCTAACTTTCATTTGTCAGTGTCTAAATATTGTCAATTTAGGCCAGCCTTAGATGTTAGTAGAGGTGTAACTGAGGTGTGTATTTCATTGAAAGAGGAGAGAGTAGGTTCCATAGTGTAATACTAAGCACTTTGAATTCTGAAACCAGAGGGAAAAAATTTGGTTGTGGTTATGCATAATTAGTTAGGTTTCATATTAATAAGTATGTAGCTACCTAACAAAGATGCAAATTTCCAGACAGAATTTGACACTTTTATTCTATTTAAGCTTTTAAATGTATTATTTAATGATGTTAAATCTATGAATTCTATCATTGGTGCTCTTCAAAGGCATCATATTATTCGCCATACTTTATCAGGTCCACCAGGAATGGTACAGAATCCTGATTAGCAGTCCTTATGGGTTAGGGCAGGAAATGCAGGTACCCCTGAACTGCATCGTAGAGAGAACAGGAATAAACTTCATTAGTATATACTTTATCAAATAAATACTTTTTAAAAGAGAGCAGGTGAAGTTCACACAGCTGAAGTGGATGAAATCCCAAAAAGTTTAACAATGTTAATTTTTAAAGAATTTTATGCTCAAATAAAAACACGATAGTTATTGTTGTCAATGACCATCAGATTGTACAGGAGCCTAGTGGTCCTCCTTATGTGTACTAGGAAGTTCCAGGTATCATCAAAGCTTCAGATGGAAGAATGACCATAGATGGAATTAAGCTTGGGTTGTTGACCTGTCCCATGACCAGCAAGACTAAGTCTGAAAGATTGAAGGATAAATGTAGACAAATTTTTAAACAGTCTTATTAAATAAGAAACACAGAGCCAAATACAGGGGTGAAAACCATAGAGATCAGAGAAATAGTGAGAGTCACCAGCTAGCCTTAGGTCACCATGCCGCTGTAGCTTCCCAAGCTAGAGCTACTTCCTGTCTAACCTGCACCTTTATTGCCTTGCTGTTCTGCCCTCTCATTGGCTCTTAGCCCAGCCACCTCACTTCCTCGTCACTTCCTGTCTGTACAGACCTCCAGGTCTCTATGGTTGGTACTGGGATTAAAGGCATGTGTCACCATGCTTGGCTGTATCCTGGAACACACAGAGACTCTGCCTGCCTTGTGATCTGGACTAAGGGTGTGTGCTACTACCACCTGACTTTTATTTATGGCTGGCTATGTCCTCTGATCTCCAGTCAAACTTTATTTATTAACATACAAATAAAATATCACCACATTTCAGCACAAATAAAATATCACCACAGATAAATTCCAAAGATCGGAGTGGAGACAAACTAGGGTACTCCAGGCTTCTGAACTCTAAAAGAGTAGTGCAAACAAAGCACTTCTCATTTTTATTAAGGCAAGCAAGAGATGGGGTGATGTTTACAGGTAGATTAAGCAAATATAAGTACACCGAGGGAATACACCTTGTTTTATGTCTTATCATCTTGGTCATGCCAAAAGAACCAAGACTATTCCTCCTAGGTGTAGATGTAACCAACCGTTTTATTAAATAAGAAACACGGAGCCAATATAGAGATCAAAGAGCTAAGAGCTAAAAACCTTACCCTTCACTGTCGCGGTGCTCCTACCTCTCTGAAAGAGACCTACTCCAAAAAAGAGACACTGTGTGTCTGTCTTTTTATAGTGTTTCTGTTCTGCCTTCTCATTGGTTGTAAACCCAACCACATGACCTCCTAGTCACTGCCTGTCTGTACAGACCTCCAGGTCTTCTATGGTTGGTATTGAGATTAAAGGCATGTGTCTCCATGCTGGCTGTATCCTTGAACACACAGAGATCTGCTTAGCTCTGCCTCCCAAGAGCTGGGATTAAAGGCGTGCACCACCACCGCCCATCTTCTGCTAAGGCTTGCTACTAGCTCTGACCCCCAGGCAACTTTATTTATTAACATACAAATCACATTTCAGTACAAATAAAATATCACCATACCTAGGCTTTTGCATTTACCATGGGGTTAATGTGGACAGATCAGGGCATTCCTCCATGACCTTGCTTTCAAGTGCATTCACTTATCATGGTTTATGCAATTCTTCCTAGAAGGGCACCTTGTGGGAAGAACATTCTGTACTCGTCCCATCCATAGTTCACAGTAAGTTCACAGCTTTGCTTCACAGGCCCCCATAGTAAGTTAACAATCAATAAACAATTAAATGTTTAAAATGCCAAATTAAGAAGCCTTAATAATAGCCAAGACTTTCAACAGATTTATAAAAAAAGGATTGACCAGATCAGATCAGATCTTAAACCCTTAGAAGTTGTGTCAAATACAAAGGCCAAAATTGATAGCAATAATATGAATGAGAACCCTAATTCCTTCCAGCAAGAAGATAGAACACTGTAGCTGTCAGCCTTGCAACACTGTGACAAAACTACCAAGGGCATCGATTTTAAAATGGAAGGGGGCCTGGAGAAATGGCTCTGTTGGTTAAGAACACTTGTTGCTTGTGCAAAGGAACTCAGTTTGGCTCCCAGCACCCACATGGAGGCTCACAACCATCTATAATTCCAGTTACAAGGAATATGATGATCACTTTTTGGCCTCTGTTAGTACTGCATGCACAACATACATACATATATACAACCAAAACACAAATACACATAAAACAAAACAAATAAATCTTTAAAATATTTGAAATATGAAAAACTTATTTGGGCTATTTCACCATGGATCTCTGCCAGTAGAGTACATTGTGGTGGAAGGATATGGCACTGGAGCCATGTTCATCTCATTTCATCAGGAAGAAAAAAAATGGAGAGAAACAGGAAGACCTCAGAAGCATAATGCTCCCCCAACAAGAAAGGCCCAAAGACCTAACTTCTCACCAGGCTCCACCTCCTAAGGGTTCTTCCATCTCCAAATAGCACCACAGGCTTAGAAACATGGGTCTTTTAAGGGGACAATATTCAAGATCCCAACTACAGCAAGAATGATCAATAGTGTGTCAACAAGGCTGGAAAGCAGAAGAAATACTTGAGATCTGTAAAGTTGAGATAGTATTTAGACACAACAGTATGTGAAATGAGCTTTGAGAAATTTGAATAATATGTAGTATTTTAGCTTACTTGGCCAAACTATCACATTAAAAACCAAAGAAGCAAACAAATGGAATGAAGGTCAAATGGCTAGAAAGAAGAAAAAGGCCAAAGGTGATAGTTTTAATTTTATAAATATGATATCTCAGTTATCTGTTCTATAGCCATATTGATGAATTCATCTCTCACAAAGAGGTGACTATTTCAGTACTATAGTAGGTCCAAGAAAAACAAACCTAAAGATTAAGCTATAGTAGATTGGGGTATGTTACATATAGGAGAGAGGTAAGTCAGCAAGAGTGTATAAATCCGTTGAGGAGAGACATAAGAAATGAAATAATTGGGGTTGACAAGATGGCTTAACAGGTAAAAGTGCTCTCCATACAGGCCTAAAGACCTGAGTTCAATCTCTGAATTCTATAGTGGGAGAGGATTGACTCCAAATCCCAAACAATATCTTCTAACCTACATATAATGGATAGCATATACACACCCACATTCTCATATGTACACCATATATATATATACACACACAAATATTAAATAAAAATGAAATTTATAAAACAATAGTTCTTTTAAAGAATTCAAGCAGACTGACACAAGAAGGATCCACTGAGTCACACTAGGGAGATGAGTTAACCAAGGGAAGAGAGAAAAGCAGGAAACCATGAACTACTACTACTATAAAAAAAAAAAAAAAACAATGACATGGTCCGTCTGTGTCATAGAAGATGCAGAATAAGAGCCAGTTGCTGTAAGTAGTAACCAAATGTCTCTAGGACAGTTTGAATATGCTTAAAAGCAGAAGAAAGGATTCATTGTCATTGGTATAGAAAAATTTAAATTGAATTTAGAACAATAACAGATTTCTAAGTTGGTCAATATCTCAAATATTATGTTTATACAATGTTGCCTAGCTGGTTACATTCAACACATTTTTCATAACTCTGGGAAGCCCAAGTACTTTGGAAAGTGTTAAGAATGCAGGATTAAGGTTGGAAACTGGGAAACAATGGAGGTAAAGAGGAAACACATTTTAAGTTGGTTCGAAGACCATCATGGATAGAGAGTTGAGCCTTTAGAGCAGCAGTGGTTCAGAGGCAGGTGGGACTCTGCATAGATGAGTGAGTGAATGGAGGTGCCTATTAGTGGTGAAGGGAAGTGCTCCCCCTCGCAGGAGCAGAGGAATTGGAGCCACGGAAGTCTAGGATGTTGAGGAAAGTAATAATGATGAGAAGTTTAGGCCACATAGGAGGAATCAATCTCATTGACTATGAAGCATAAGATTTTTCAGACTGTGAATGCATGTAGTTCAGCAGTAGAGTTAGCATTCTACAGTGTGGTAGCGTGAGTACTAACCATGGGTGGGGCCTTGGTCTTGATCTTCAGCAATGCAAAAGGAGAAAAGAAAACAAAAGAAAAGGAAGGGAAGGGAAGGGAAGGAAATGGAAAGGAAATGGAAATGGAAAGAAATGTGAGGATTGGCCCCTATTTGTTTTGGAAACACAAGACAGGACCATGGGGATTGTGGTTAGGGAAGTGAATAGTTACCAGCAAGGCTGATGATGAAGCTGCCTGATAACTTCAGAAGAAGGATGAAGGACATGGGGAGAGGAAGATCTATGAAGTGCAGTGGACATCAAAAATGAGTGCATTGCCTAATGCTAGGAGAACACTGGAAAATCAGGAAGGTTGTACCTGACCCTTCTCCTAAGTAATCTCCATAGGAAAGGGGATTCAGAGTATAATTCCTGCAGGTAGTAGAAGGTGGAAGTCTGGGCAAAGCGGGAGACAAGTGACTGTGATAGAAGGGAGTAGGGCAGAGGGACCTTTCACAGAGTGATGTCTAAATCATACGCCACAGCCACCAGTCATGACTGCAAAGTGGAATCAGAAACACAAGAGATGAACAGGTAGTTTCCAAGCTTGGAGAGGGATATGTTGAGCATACCGCACAAGCTCAAGAAGTTTGCAAATCTAAGTGGTGCAGAGGTCAATGGAAATTTTAGGGTAAGGGGCCTTCCATAGAAATGTTTCCTGGGTACCCTGGCTTTTGTTGCTTTTCCTGTGAAAATTGACTAGCTGATGTATTTATCCATCGTATTCGTACTAATAAAGATAAATATCTGTTTGTACCTGTAAAACATCTTCTAACACAGTACTTTTCAAAGAGTGGTCTGGACTCCAGTATCAGCATCTACCAAGAGTTTGTTAAAACATCAAATGCCCTCCTTACCCTAGTACTGCTCAATCATAATGAGCATGGGGCATAAAATGGGGCATTTTAACAAGTCCTTCTGGTTCCGAGGGACATTAGCATCTCTAAGCCTCTGCGGTCGCTGGTATCCTTAGATGACCATGGCATTGGCAGATATTTGGCTGCCTACCTGGATTGTCTCATAGCTTTCTGTTTCTCAGAGGCTAAATATGAAAGCAGGTAGATTTCACATAAGCTGGTGAGGAGAGTTAGATCATCACGTGCCTAAGCAAGAGTCCTAACCTTACTATCCTCACCTAACTTTACATGTGCCCTGACAGAGGCTCTTTGGGATAACTTACTTCATTGGCTGGCTGAGGAGCTCTCTGAAGAAGGTGTTGAGGTCCTCACCACATCCCTCCCTCTGCGCCGCAGCACAGTTCAGCTCATCAAACTCAAGCACCCTGATGATCTGACAGAGCAGATCCATGAACTACTTTGCTTCTGGAAACGATCACTACCAACTTCCATGGACAAAATTCGCCTCCTGGCTCGCCATCTCCGCAAGCTGGGCCGGTGTGATCTTGCAGAAGAGCTCAAGTTCAAGTGGGAACACAAGGTGTTCACGGAACCTCAGTCCTGGTTTGATGTGACTGCTGAATAAAGGTATGCTCACTCTTCCTTTACCCTAGAAAAGGACTTTAAAGATTGGGTGTCAACTTTTTCCAGCTACTGAGTAAGACTGTTTGAAGTGAGTCTGTTTGAAAGACCCACTATTGAGAAATCAATGGAAACAAAAGGGAATCCTCAGACAACTGAAGGCTTCTTTTGGGTGTCAGTACCTTCAATGATAACTGACATGTTTTCGGCAATCAACAGCACCATGGGTTCAGCTAAGCTTAAAGGCATTTGCAATAGAGTTTGCCCCCATCTTAGTTAGGGTTTTTATTGCTGTGAAGAGACACCATGACCACTGCAACTCTTATAAAGGAAAAACATTTAATTGGGATGGCTAACATTTTCAGAGGTTTAATCCATTATTATCATGGTGTGACATGGTGGCATGCAGGCAGACATGATGCTGGAGAAATAGCTGAGAGTCCTACATCTTGACTTAGAGGCAGCAGGAAGTGGTCTGAGACACTAGGCATGGCTTATGCGTGTATAAGATCTCAGAGCCCTCCTCCATAGTAGCACACTTCTTCCAACAAGACCACACCTACTACACAAGGCCACACTTCCTAATGGTACCACTCCCTTTGGGGGCCATTTTTTCTTGCAAACCACCACACCCAGTTTACATTTCAATAGCTGAGGTTGTTTTCTAAGTGTGAAGTAAATGTATGTTATAGCAAATGACTTTTAAATAATTGTTATTTAAAATTAAAATAGTATTTCATGACTCCAAGCAACCAATTCCAGTTACATGATGTCAGAGGCCCAGATGTGACAATATGAAATAAAGGGTGCCAATGATAGGCAGTAACAAGTAAATTTTAGGAAATTGAAAATCTTAAAATAAATTAATAGTATAAAAGCACTTCAGGCAGTTACTGGCAAAAGCTCTTTTATAGCAAGGTTGCTGAGAATTGGTGACATTTCATCCTCATTATTAAGGAAATGAAGCAATACAGAAAAAAAATGAAGTTCTGTAAAGTAACCCAAGATCTCTTTCAATTACTTAAAGAGGGTGTTTATTACACAGTTAAGAGAAATCTTATTGCATAAATATTGGGGTTGGAGGCAGGGAAAGAGGCATAATACTACAGCCTGAGATGTTCCCTTTGTTAGGGACCTGGACTCAGGTCAAACTGGAGTTAGTGGTTTCAACACAGAAAAGAAGTTCATGACAAGCCCGCATGAAGCAGAGGTGGCATTTACTAGAGATATTTCAAAATAGGCATCAGCATGCAGATTATGAGAGAAGAGAAACACCCAGAAGGAAGCTGCCCAGACAGCAGAGTGAGGACTTCTCTAAGATAGTCACAATTGACTGTCTTATAGTTTATTAGTCAAGAAATATTTTTACACCCAAAAGGTGCGACTTATATTTTCTTGTGTTCTTGAAGTGAAAAGAAAAAGTAAAATATTTAATGCTTTTCTGAATGCAAAAAGATTTCATGTTCCTTTTATTCTGCCATTAGAGATTGCTATTACAGATATTGTTTCTTTCAGGTGTCCATCTCTCTTTCAAGAAAAATATTTTATTTTTATTCATATGGATTTATGTTTTCACACTCATGTATATACTTTTGCAAACAACCTCCACACACAAGCCTCCTAATATAGATGACCTCATTCACTCAACTCCTTCACCCTATTCATCTCCTCAGTATCTGCACACACACACACAAACACACACACACAAGCATATTCATAAGCACACATCTTTTTACACCTCTCACAATCTCACTGTCTAACATACCATTTACTTCACAATCTTGCACCTACCTGTGTACCTCCTGTGTATCTGAATACTGTAAGCAACACACCACTTCCACCTATTCAAACACATTTTTCTCATATACATAATCACATAAACACACATGGGTATATTATCAAATCGGCTTGGATACTTTCACATAGATTCACAGGTATATCATGTCACATGCAATCTATCCCCACATCTCATATACATATTCAACATGTATTGTAGATGAATTTCTAAGCAGTCTTATTAAATAAGAAACACAGAGCCAAACACAGGGGTAATAGCCAAAGAGATCAGTGAAATATCAAATAGCCACTGACTAACCTTAGCTTACCACCTTGCTTCCCAAGAGAGCTTCTTCCTGTCTAACCTGCACCGTTATTGCCTTCCTGTTCTGCTTTCTCATTGGCTCTAAGCCCAGCCACATCACTTCCTCGTCACTGCCTGTCTATACAGACCTCCAGGTCTCTATGGTTGTTGGTACTGGGATTAAAGGCATGTGTTACCATGCTTGGCTGTGTCCTTGAACACTCAGAGACTCTGCCTGCCATGTGATTGGATTAAGGGTGTGTGCCACCACTGCCTGACTTCTGTTTATGGCTATGACCTCTGATCTCCAGGCAAACTTTATTTATTAACATGCAAATAAAATATCACATTTCAGCATAAATAAAATATCACCACAATGTTTACCCTCAAACACACACACACACACACACACACACACAAAATCTTTATGTGCACACTTACATTTTCACACATTCTCTCTTCTCTTACACAATCTACTCTTGCTCTACCACTTCTTCTCTCACACACATTTAAATACATATTTGAAAGGGAAATACATACATGCATCCCTTCGTACACATTGACACAGTTTTCCCAGTGTTAAAACATTTCTCATATTATTGCAACATTAAAACCATAAAGAGGCACATAAAAAATGCTCCAGAATTCCCTACAGCCACACCCCAGCCTGATGCACCTGCCTTTTGTCTGATGTGCTGACCACATGAATCACATTAGTAGAAGCACTGGCTTCCAGTTGGGTTTGCTCACTGGTGAGACCGAGCAAGAGACTGGAGGGAGGGAGGAGAGAGAATTGTGTGCTATGTCCCTTTTTTCCTTCCTGTAGTTTGGTTGTAAAGCTGTGTCTCTCATCTGAACTCCTCTCCAGGAAACCATGTTCCCCTGAATTTTGGTCGATGCCCTGCTCCTTTCTTTAGGTCTGGAGATGGCACCCACTTCCTTGTGAGGAACAGCTGCATTATTCCATCTGCTTCCCATGCAGTCCCTTCTCTTTTAAGACACAGCTCCTTTATTCCTATTCAATTACCCCATCTGTGTCTTATTGAAATCCTGACCCATGTATCTCTACAACCTCACCTCATGCTCCAGAAACCTGTCTGTGCATATTTTACCACAAGAGGAGTCAGATATTTTGTATACAGTTCATAGTATCAAAAATTAATGTCTTATTTAATTATATGCATTTTCAATGCCTGTGTTTTATGTGAAAGATCATATAACATATCATAGTTAATTTTAGAAAATGTTTGAATTGAGAAATGTAACATGGATTCTCTGATGTTCAAGTTTTTAATTCAACTTTATGTTGGTGAAATGCATTCATTTTGCCATGCATGGCCATAGTTTGTTCATTTGCATTATTGCCCAGTGTTTCATTATGGAAAAAATAAAATTATGCATATATTCTTTTGTTAATTTTTATTTTTTGTCTTTTCAACACAGGGTTTCTTTGTGTAGCCCTGGCTGTCCTAGAACTTGCTCTGTTGACCAGGCTGGCCTCAAAATCACAGGCATCCACCCACCTCTGCCTCCCAAACATTGAGATTAAAAGCATTCACCATCACTATCTGGCAAATTATTCATATATTCTATTGTAGATTGGCATTGAAATAAATTCTATTTTCAGATTGTCATATACAGTGCTATTATGAAAATTCTTTGCACAGATTTTAGCATATATAGGCATATAATTTTATTTTAGCATACTTTTAAGCATATATATATATATATATATATATATATATGTATATTAATCATTCGTTCCTCCACCTAAGAGTGAAGTGGTAGGCTGGCAAAATTAATTTAGCCTTGCTGCTTGTTTTATACCAGACAGGGTTAAGGATGATCTACCATTTACGTTAATCACCAACTTTACCAGTGAAAAACCTATTATCGACGTCATTCTGCTAATTATTAAGCACTTTGTTTTACAAATTAGACAAAATTAACATTTATTATTCAAACTCACAAAACCTATGGTGCTTAATCATAGTCATTTTGATTAAATGGTTGTGTCTGAAGTATGAAATTCTGAAGTATTTCAGAGAAAAATAGCAAGGTCTTCATAAGCAATGAGTGCTTTGAGAATGTCATAATCCAGTTTTCAAAAGAGTTAACTTTTGATCTATTTTTTCTAAACTAGCACTTCTCAGAAAGATGCTATGATATTTTCAATGGAATATTGCATTAAAAAAAAACTAATCTGGTGGTACAGAAATTGTGGGAGTGGCCAACCAATGACTGGTCCAGCTTGAGACCCATGCCACAAGAGGGAGCCTACCCCTGACATTGCCTGGAGGATCAGAAACCAGAGGCCAGAAAAACAAACAAACAAACAAACAAAAAGATCCCTAATGAATGACACTCTGCTATACTCAAAAATAAGAGCCTGGCAAAATCAATACCAGAGAGACTTCATCCAGAAACTGATGGGAGCAGATTCAGAGCCCCAAACATTAGGCTGAGCTCAGTGAATTTTGTGGAAGAGGGAAGGAAGAGGGAGCAAGGATTGTAGGAACCAAAAGGGTCAAGAGTATCACAAGAAAACACATGGAATCAACAAACCTGGACTCCTAGCAGCCCACTGAAACTGAACCAACAATCAGGGAGACTGCATGGTTCTAACCTAGGCCTTGTGCATATATGCTATAGTTGTGTAGCTTGGTCTTTTTGTGGGGCTCCTAACAGCGGGAGCATGAGCTGTCTCTGACTCTGCTGCCAGCTTTGGGGACCCTTTTCCTCTTGCTGAGTCACGTTCTCCAGCCTTGAGATGATGGGAAGTGCCTAGTCTTATTACAACTTGATATGCCTTGATTGATTGAAATTCCTGGGAGGCCTGCCTTTCTCTGAAGGGAAATGGGGGTGGGGAGTGGATGAGAGTGGGACTGGAAGGAAAGGAGGGAGGGGAAACTGCAACCAGGATGTAATATATGAGAGAATAAATTACTAAAAAAAAAGAAAGAAAAACTAACCTGAACTGGCCCATGAACTTCAGGCCATTAAACATCTCTCCCTCTCCACACCAAGTGATTAAAACACCCCTAGAACCCATGACTAGTTAAATGGTTTCCACAAGGTTGTGCCCACAAGGGTAGTGGTGGGTGGGTGAGAGGTGAATGTGGTAGGAAGTAGGCACTTGACTCAATCTTTGGTTTGATGTGGTGTATGGACAGGGAAAGGGAAATCTAAAATATTTAAGCTCTGAAGGTTCCAAATTAAACTCCCCAGCTGCTACCAGTGTCTTCAAGAAACTGTTTTTGTTCAGTGAGACTGTTTCTCAGTGAGGAGTCCAGATCTGTCATGGAGTGAGAGGTTTATCAAAGATACAAAGTCATGCTCCCTCAAGTTAAAAAGGCGACTGTATGGGGGAAGAAGGAAGCAGTGAGTGAGGTCAATGCCAGGGCGGATGTAGGCTGGGGGATTCCCAGCAGCTTAGCCAAGCATTGCTTCTGTAATCTAAGCTCTCAATAAGTCACAGCATGGTCTTCACATTTTCAGAGATAGCATGTCAGTCATTGATCCTTGAATCGTTACCTCTTCCAATTGTCTCCAATTTATTATAGTTTGCTTACTTGTTACCGTTGTTTACATTGTGTGAGTGAGTCAGCACCCTCCTCTGTGTACATACACAAAGGCCAGGTGCTTGTCTCCTGCTCACTGATATATTCCTACTACACAGAATTCTGCCACCAGGACTCAGCTGACCATGGTGGCAATTGTGTTCGGTGCTAGTAATCTGGAGGATGAGACAGCAGGACTTCAAGTTCAAGGCCAGCCTGAGCAATATAGGAAGACTTTGCCTCAAAACCCCAAACAAACAGAAACAATAGACAAAACCCTAGAAGATTCTGTTTCAAAGTTCCTTTTCTTCTACTATGGACTACTCTTCTAGCTACTTATTAGTCTTCTAGAGCTTATAAATTTGACAATGTTTTTGAGTTTCCCAAATTCCCAGGATAAGATTAACGTCCATTAAAACCCACCTGCAAGTACAGCCACAGCTTGTCTGTACATGATTATAATCACCTATCAATGCATATTATCTCCCAATCACCTTTTAGCTTTCATGAGTACAATTCCTTGGTTTTTGTCTATCAGTGGGGTCTCAGAGTTTTGCAAAGGACATGGCATATAGTAGGTCCTCAAAAGTTCTTCATTAAATTAATGAATGAACAAGTACCCATGAACATACTGATAGGCCATCTGGACTCTAACGGTTCCATCTTTCTCCCCAAGACAACCTTGTGAGGCAAATATCATGTTTGAAAGGAGAAAAGTGTGCAAGGATTTTAACAGTCATCCCTACCATTCACAAGGCATAGGTAAAGCTAGCCACAAATTTAATAGGAATCAATACTGCCTCACACATCATAGCTCTGAAGCATCTCCTTCAAGTGATTTTTGATTCCTTGCACACTGAGAAACTTTGTTCTCCACATCATCCAATATAAGAAAAAATTGCCACTTGAAATTGTATCAGTTAAGAAGGAATCCCTTACTTGCCTGGAGGACTGAAGCCACTTTGACACAGACAGGAATTCTTGATCTACAAGCTGATGTGCCAGGCTCGGTCCAGATAAAAGGCCTCTAGCTAGAATACTGAACATCCATCTCAGATTTAATGCTACCAGGGAGGGACATTTTATACAGCCGACCTGATGCTCACATCTGCACTTGCAGCTCTGTTTTGATTTGTGCCTGTTGAAACAATAAACTTACTCCCTTGTACTAAAATAACTCTCTTTGATTCTGTGTAACGAGACACTGGTCATCCCTTTGATATACAGCCTGCTTTGTGGAAATGAAACAGTAATCGCAATTTTGTTGTGTTCCAGATTTGCCCCTGGTGGCCCTTCCCTATCTGTGTTACCTGTATGATTCTCCTGTATTCAACACTTGAGTTTTCAAACTAGCTGCATATTACGTCAGCTTGAATCTTGGGCTGATTCTGATAGATCTTGCTTGATTTAGCCTCAAGTAGGCCCTAGGAAGTAAAATGCAAAGTTCCTCACTGCAGCCAGGTTAAGAATGATTCTTTTCTGTTCAAATAGACTCTGAAATATGTGGAATGGGTGTTAAAATCAGTTTCATAAGATGAAAACTCAGCCCTCTAAATCATTTCTGGATTATGGATAGTCACCAAGTCCCTCAGGTCACGTTTATGCCCATAATGTTGAAGGGCATTGTCCACTGTGTTCTACTTCCTGCCCAGAGCAATCTTGCAACTTTTAACTTTTGTGCTTAGCCTTGGGTCAAGAGTAATAGGAGGGAAGAAAGAGAACAGAGAAAACTCTGTCTATGCTGACTACAAAGACTTTTCCTTTGGAGAGGTCATTTGAGAAGATGTATCTGTTCACAAGACCAAGCAGAGTGGAGCCCAGAGCCAAGATAAGGGGGTAGAATAGGGGAAGAACTCTTCACCCGGTCGGTCCCTCCAGGAAGAGAGAAATTCAGGTCTGCAGTTTTAAAATGAGAAAAGCTGACTGTGGCCATGCTGAGTGGGTAATGCCTCAGGAAGCTGCTTATTGTGTAGCTAATGTAAATTAACATTTTTGATTGTTTCATTTTTCAATGACAGAATTGTACTGCAATGTTTTTGTGCATACTAAAAGATGTAAAGTATAACACATTACCTTTATACTTCTATTTAGATTCACTTGGGGTCATTTGTACAGACACCGAGGGTCTCCACAATGAAGTGAGCCCAGCCTTGCTTCGCTGTCTAGACCACATCTGGAAACTTTCCTTTATAAACAGTCAATGCAAATGTGTCCATACAGCCACAAGGGGGAACCCATGTTTCACACAAAATCAAGGATGAGAGCAAGACCTTACAAAGAAATTTCTTTACATATTGAAACAATATTTTGCATGATACTTAATAACATTTTGCAATAAAGGGAAAAAATGACATATAGTCAATGTACTATACATGTAATATTCCTTTTTTTTTTTTTTTTTGCTAAATTCAGCTCTAATAGTAAAAGTCTCAAAAGTCTAACACCCATTTGGTATGACAAAACAAAGTATGTAGAAATTGCTGCACATGGTTTATATGTTAGAATGTGTTTTATTTTTCTTTAACAAAAGCAATCTAATTGATAATGCAATGTAGGATTGGTTACTTGAACAATGTATATCTTTTTGAAATTTTCTGAGGAGCAAATGTAAGTATAATTGATGACACTAAGAAATAAATACACTCTGAGCTCCATTCAGTTTCCAATAAATGTTTACTAATTTGATTATTAAGCTGATTTGAGTCTTAGGAATCAAGAATTAATTTCTAATTTTTTAAAATGTTCTGAGCCATATTCTGTTATTATGATTTGACAATAAATGAAACTGGCTAACATCTATACACTGAAATATATTTCTTACTATAAAGTCATTTTTAATAGACT